AAGGGGAACAAAAATTGTGAATTTCATGATCCCTGCTGCCCTGGGGCCTGAGGAGTGGGACCAAAACCACTAAAATTAATGCAATCTTTAAAAATCTTCTTCTTTACTCCTGAACATCAAGCAGTCAAACTGTTTGCATGATTGTAATCAGCGATGAGTCCTCTACCAAAATTGTGAAATTTATGGCCCTGGGGTCAGGGGTACTAGTGCTAGGGCGGGGCTAAATAAGTAGGTAGTGAAAATGCATTATTTCTTTGAAAATCTTCTTCTCTGCTTCTGGGTATTAAATAAACAAACTAAGCACATAGTTATGATAAGCAAGAATGCCTTTTCCAAAATTGTGAATTGTATGGCCCCAGGGTCAGGGGTTCTGGTGTTAGGGCGGGGCTCTATTGATTATATAGTGAAAATACAGGAATTCTTTGAAAATCTTCTTCTCTGCTCCTGGGTATTAAATAAACTAACTAAGTACATAATTATGATGAGCAAGAGTGCCTCTACCAAAATTGTGAATTTTGTGGCCCCAGGGTCAGGGGTTCTTGTTTTAGGGAGGGGCTCTAATGATTATATAGTGAAATGCATGAATTCTTTGAACATCTTATCCTGTGCTCCTGGTTAATATACTAATGATCTAATTACATATTTAAGGCCAGGATTTATTTTATTTTCAGTTTTACAAACCCTCCGCTCAAGGTTTTGAATTTTCAGAAAAAAATAAAAACATTTTTTTCTTTCCGATGTCAAATTTGAGTCGGGATCAAGATTTCAAATTTACGAACTCACACTTCCGGTTTTACGATGAAACGGCAGGTAAATAAAGCTAGATAGCTTGGTTTAACAAGTGTAAAATTTATTGATACGAGTGCCATTCAAAACGTTTCACCTGTTCAAAGGACAAATAAAATGCTGACGACTTTGTTGTACAATGACATGCTGGTGAGATAATTATGTATTCGTTTCAAAAGTATCCTGTCTGTAAATTATTTTCCTAAACCTAAACATAAAAAAAATGCTGGCCTTATAATGAAGAAAGGGGCCTCTTTCAAAATAGATAATTTCAGGGCCGCTGGGTCAGGGGTACCAGGAGGGTGCTTTGACTAAAAATAAATTAATGCTTTGAAATCTACCCTTTGCTAAGCAATGGTGCCTCCTTCAAAATTTGTGAATTTCATGGCTTTTAGATTAAAACACGAACCAAATACAATTGGTGGAAAGTTGTTACATGATACTCAGGTGACCTATAAGCCCGTGGGCCTCTTGTTAAACATTTCTACACTAAGGGATGTAATAAGAATATAAAGTTTTATTCTGTTTTATACGTAAGAACTCTTCATGTCCCTGTGCTAAAAATAGTGACATGTAATACAATCAATACTTATAAAACAAATGGGGCGGGGCACTTTGAGAGGGGTAAAGAGGTCCTAGGGACTTTTGTATAAATTACATTGCAAAAGCTCAACATCCTCTTGAAATACAAGGGCTATTCATTAAATAGTGAGACTTTTTCAGTAAAATCAGATATAGCCTTTTATTCTTTTCTATTTTAGTAACATTCCTTCAAAATAATTCCCCTTTACTTAATAACATCTTTGAAGTCGTTTTATCAAGCTTTGGTACACGGCTCTGTACTTCGAAAGCGGTATACTTTTAGACACTGACACGCAGCTGAACTTTATGGAGAACGAAAATGGAAACTACGTCCACATAGCATTTTTTTAATTAAGGGACTAAGAAAAGTCGCATGGGGATAAATCTAAAAACAAAGCGGGCGATTTAGCTGCTGTATTATATTTCTACAAGAGAAATCTTGTGTGTACTTTGTAGTGTGTGCTGGAACATTATAATGCAAGAGATTGATTCCCCCTCATTCAAGCTTTGGGTCTTCTGTTTTTGTAATGATTTTGTACCTCAGGTATTTTATTTTTCGCGTAAACATTTTTTTTAGTAACAATTTTGCCTATTTTTAATTGAATCTGAGCGAATACCTCGTTAGAATAGAAAAGGATTGCATACAAAACCTTCTTAGCTGTTTTGCCGCGTTTTGCAATGGTAGGTCGTTTTCATTGTTTGTCAGCCATATTTTTGTTTTCAGTTTTCCTTTTCAGGTTCATAGAAATGTAGCCAAGTTTTATCTCCCGTAACAATTTCAGGTCGACGTATTTTATCCCATTTTCCGATAAATTTTAAAAGTTTTTGAGAATTGTGCAATAGCATCCTTTTAGCCTGTAATTTAAAATATGTGGGATCCACCTCGAAGATACTTTCCTGACTCCTATACTTTCTTTAAAATCTTCAAAAGTTACCCAATGAAATGTTCAGCTTCTTGGCGATCTGATTTTCGGTTACTCTGCCCTCTCTGTCGATAACACTTTTACTGCTGTGACTGATTTTTCCTTGATAACTGATTTGATCCTTCCTGAATGTTTAATATTTTCATCTGCATCCCTACCAAGTTTGAAATGCTTTATCATCTGATAAACGGTTTTCATAGATACTAGAATTTTCATATAGTGACAAGAGTTGTTTGAAAATTTACTATTACGTTATATTTATTAGAAAACAATATTTGGTATACGACCTGATGTTCAAAATGACCTTTCGGGACTTTCGATCTGTTTTCATGTTAACAGTGTCCGCAGGGTGGGTCCGAAAAAGATCTGTCATTTGAAGTATGGCTTTGTAGAAAGTTTGTGACTAGGTGTCAAATCAATAGTATGGAAGACAATAAACATTTTATCATGTGTTTTCATTCAATCAGGTGTAAAATTTAAAAGGAGAACATGTAGTGTCATTATTTAATGAATAGTCCTCGTATTGCCCGAAAACGATATTGTTACACTCAAACAGAATGTATACATTTATGACCTTGAAGTTTGACCTTTTGACCTCAAAATCAATAGGGGTCTTCCTTAAGCCACAGGTGGCTGAAGTGGAAGTTGTTATGTAAAATTTCATTGTAAAATCTCAAAGGGTTCTCGAGATATCGTGCGGAAACGAAAGTGTTTAAACAGACAGAATTTGCGAATTTATGTCCTTGACCTTTGACCTTTTGACATCAAATCAATAAGGGTCTTCTTTAGTCCATAGGGAGTTGCTATGCAAATGTTCATTGTAAAAGCTCAAAGGGTTCTCGAGATATCGTGTGGAAACGAAAGCGTTACAGACAGACAGAAAGACGGATGGACGGACGGACGGACGGACGGACAGACCCAAGTTAATATCCCACTTTTCAAGCGGGGGACAATATACCCGCTAATGTTGATTGAAACAGTGTATTCAGATCAGGGTGGCTTAATTTGTTTGTCTATAGTGGAGAGGATCAGGCTTATTTAAGGGCTCTTAGTAGAGTAGAGTTTAAGACCGTGTTGTCGTGGATGATGTAGGATGATGAGGAGGTCGAGAACTATTGTTTGAAATATAAAAGCCTAGGCTATATCAACACGGATTTTATCTTTCAAACAACGTTTCTCGACCTCGGGGGATATCCTGCAACATCCAGGAAAACACGGAATTTTTTTTCTTAAGTAACCATGCATTTTTGCATTTTTAGGTCACTTGGGTCATTTGCTATACGTTTTTCTTTGTCATCGACCGTCTGTGGTCGTACATTGTTCCTTACATGTAAGATAGGAACATTTTCTATGATCGGAATAAGAGTATTGAGCTTCCAAAATTCTAGAATTTATAATCTCAAGGTCAGGAGTTCTGATGCTAGGGCGGGCCTTCGATGAATGCTTAGAGAAAGTGCATTATTTTAAAAAAAATCTCATCCATTGTGTTAAGCAAAAAAAAAATATCAAGAGGAAGAGTAACTCTTTTAAAATTGTGAATATCAAGGCCCATGAGTCAGGGGTCATAGTGTTAGGGTGGGACTTGAATGGCTATAATGTATTGTGAAAATGCATTATCTCATTTGCTGGTCTGGTCTGGTCTGGCGAGGACTAGTCTTACTATTGATTAAATGATGAAAATGCATTAATTCTTAAAAAAATGACTACTCTGGTCCTGATTTAAAAGAAAAAAAACATGTAGATATTTATGTAGAGGAAGGGTGCATCTCTCAAAATCGAGTTCCCTGGTTTAGCGGTTCCGTTTTATTATCTATTATATGATGATGAAACAAGAGTATCAGCAGTCTTGTTTAAAGTCTTCATTTCGTAAGTTTTATGGTCGATACAATGACTTTGTCAGCAAATCCAAATTACCATTGAGAAAAATGCTGACTGACGTTTATCATACTAATAGTTAGTCCATTATTTATACACTAAATTGACCATAGATTTTCCAATTATTTCCTAATCATGACAAGGAACACACGGCGGGTGTGACCGGTCGGCAGGGGATGCTCACTCCTCCATGGCACCTGATCTCACCTCCGATGTTTTGGAGGTCCGTGTTTACTCTGCTCCTATTTTGTATTGTTTTATGGACTTTAAGATTGAATACTGTTGGTTATCCCCATACCCTCCTCATACTAGTTATGTAGTGAAAATGCATTTTTACTTTGGAACCTGTTTTTTGGTCTGGTGGAATCATGATGAGATAAGTGCAAAGTTGTAATGATTAAAGGATTCTTTTTCAAATGATGAGTTTCATGTCCATTGACTTAGGGAGAACGATAAGATAGGCTCTAAAGATCATATAATGGAAATGAATCAATGATTTCAATCAATACATTTATGATGGGTAAAGTTGCCTTTTAACAAATTATGAAACATTGCAGCCTCTTGCATTGTTATTTGGGTTGGACACACTTGATTATCTAGTTGAAATGCATTGTTCTTTGTTATTCTGATCTGCCTTAGGGTATTATGTAATCAAAGTAAGCATGCTAAGTTTTAAGTTCTGATGAGCAATTATGTCCATATTCAAAATTGTGAATATCATGGTCTCTTGTGAAAACACAAACCAGAATCAAACGTTGGTAAGTTACTGCATGGCACTTAGGTTACCTATAATGCCGATTGCCATCTGTTGTAATTGTTTCATGTAACTTTCAGGAGTCTGAAGTGGAAAGCCCAAGATCATCAGAAACACAGTTGATAACTCGATGTTGTCGTGTGTATATGGAAGTTTTATATAAATTCTCCGATCATCTTAAACCAGAGAAAAGCACAAACAAAGGTGCTTTCTGTCACAAACACACAACTGCTAAAGTTTTAATTTTCTGATTAAAGTCTTATTTTCCAATCCATAAAATGGGTCTAATGATTCTGTCGGGATTCTTATGTATATTATAGAAAAAATACACAAGTGTGACGAATATTTGCCATGCAGATATACAAGTACAATGTATAAGCATTAAGATTTATTCAAACATTTATTTGTCTTAAAAACAACGTTGAAGACACAGATGGGGTTATCATTAGGATATATTTGCCAATCTTGAATTCCTCATCGGCACCAAGATCACGACCTATATTTACCAAAGACTTTATTCGGTAATGACCAATATTTGCCGACAAAATCAAACTTTGACGAAGATAATTAAAATATAATTATGTTCAAAACAGGGGGTTATCTGTGGACTTCAAAGCACTGAATATTTATCTAAATAACTTTTGTGTGGGAAAAAATATAAAACATTTAGCCTACAGTTCTTTTCCCAATGCTATAATGCTACATGTTTATGGCAAAAAAAGGGGGGGGGGGTTAGAATGCATGGAAAAGGGAAAAATAAAAAGTTTTCCAAAAACAGGTCCTATAATTTTGTCAAATTTATTAAAAAATAATTGTTCGTTAAATGAAATTGAGTCTATGCATGTGTATTGCTTATAGGTTTTGGAAATTTCTTCATAAATATGCTAAAAAACCAGATGCCATATGATTGCTCATCACAGTGGGAAATCTTCCCAAACGTATCCGAACACAATATCGAAGCTGACATGAAAAGACTTGATAGATTAATTGAGGTTGGACAAAGACTGAAGAAAATGCAAGAAGTAGTTCATTCAAAATCGCAAAACATACAACATGAAAAAGAAATTGAGCATATAGCAGAGGATCTGAAAAAGGTACGAATATATCAATTTAAAAACTAGTGCTAATTGTAACGGGGACCGTTACAGATATTACCAAACGCTTCCCCAAATCCCTTTTGGTGCCATATTTACTGTAAGCTTCATTAAATAAGACAAACTCATGCATTTGAGACTTTAACAATTTACCCAGAAGTGTACCAAGTTCATTCAAATTTAAGCATTGCACGCGTGCGCATGTGAATTCATGTGCGTAATAACCATATCATCTTGTCTACACAATTTAAATATTTCAATATACTAAATATTAAAAAGTATTTTATCCAAAAGTATTGAAAAATACGCTCATTCTAGTGTATTTTTTAAATGTACTCATTCACGTGCATGTACGGGCATCTTGACGTGGTGACCATACCTTATTGTAGAAGTTCATTACATCTATCTATGTTCTAAATCCCACACCATTTGGTCAAAACCAAGGAAGTTATAGCTGTTTTAAGTTTCAGCCAATCAGATTGCAGCCCAAGTACACGCACGTGTATGCATGTGCATGGTGACCATACCTTCTTGTAGAAGTCCATTATATCTATCTATGTTCCAAATCCCATCCTGTTGGTCGAAAACCAAGTGAGTTATAGCTATTTAAAGTTTGAGCCAATCGGATGTAGCGCACGTGCATGCACGTGTTTTTATGAAAATTGCTATATATCATGTTGTAGAATATCTTATTGCATGGCAAAGTTCAAAATTTCAAAGGATTTTGTCAAAAAACAAGAAAGATATTGAGACTTTGAGTTTCAGCCAATCAGAGCGAAGCGCACGTGCATGCGCGTGAGATCTTGCTATTTTGACCATGTCATATTGTCTGTGCTACTAAAATAACCTAATGTTATGAGTTTCAAAGCATTTCATCAAAAATGTAAAAAGTTACGCTTACATTCATTATATTGATCATTTCTCGTGTTGCACGTGCGCGCTCTTGCAAGCACGTGCGCGCAAAATGACCTTCGTTCCACAAATCTACATAACATGTCTACTGACCCTAAAAACATTTCACCTTAGTCGGATGTGTAGTTTACCGAGATCATTCGCGGACCAAAGTACCAGGAAGAAGAAAAATAATAATAATAAGAAACAGAGTAAAAACAATATGTTCCCCAACTTCGTTTGGGGAACATAACAAGTATAAATTGAAATTAAATCAGGCTCAGCATTATTGTTCTTCCTGCCCGATTGTCTGTATAAAATCAACACCAAACTATTTTTGTACAGTTTTCAAACGATTTCATAGCATATCGTCAAACACCCTAACTCCATCATTACCATAGCGTCGTCACACTCGGGAAACTCCGTTCTATGTGTTAACAAATGTGATTATTACGTCATTTTTTGCATACTGAGTATGCAAAATGAAATACTGAGATATTATATTTGTCAATTTCAGAGAATGCATTAAAATGTTCTTGCGTTTATCCATGGGTATCTCCAACATGTGCGTCAACAAACTAATTTGCAAATGGCAACCATGTAATGAAGGTGTATGCTAAAGATTTAATATGACATACTATTTTAAATATGGCTAAAATATTTTATGTTGTCGGTCTACATTTGTATTAATGCATAACACGTTGGAGGCTACAACGATGATATAACGTACCAAATCTGGTCGCCCGCGTGGCGCAGTGGTTAGAGCGTCTGCTCTAGAGTCGCGAAGTAAGGAGTCAATCCTTACGTCGCGGGTTCGAATCCCACTGTGGGACGTGGAGACCGGTCCTTCGGATGAGTCCGTATAAACCGATGCCCCGTGTCGCAGTAGGTGTTGGCACGAAAAAGATCCCTCCCTGCTGAAAGGCTCTGAGTGCCGAGCATAGGACAAAATTTGTAGCCCTCAACCGGCAAGTGGTGGCGTCTCCATATGAGTGAAAAAGTCTCAGAGGGACGTACAACATACAACCAATCAATCAATTATACCAAAGCCGTTATATTAACGTTATTCTTCCTTTATACCTTTACTGTCATTTCTCTATATAAATTTGATACCCTCAAACTGCCTACATCTCTGTGAAGAGACTATTTTCCTCATCTGGGACTCTTCCCTCATGGATATTTAATTACATTTTTAAGCAATGGAAATGAAAAGTGGGCAAGAACTCTCTTACTGTGACGCATCAATGTTACTATGAAGTCTAAGGATTTTGACATGCAATGTCAAAAATCATATTTGATTTCTAGCAAAATGCTACAAAATATATCAGTAAAATCATTTATATTTAAGAAATAATTTTGTCATAGGTAACGATGCATAAGTTATCTTACATGTACCATCTTTGGAACCACATGCGTTTGTGAATATTTCGAATGCCTTAATATCTTTAAAAAATGTTTAAAATGAATATACGGTTTAATAAATTGCCTTTGATTGTTTTTAGTATAATAAAACAGTTATTGAATGGGAACTCAGGAAATAGGGAGGGAACCAAAAATTTGCCATTTTCCCCAATAACTGTAAGCTATTGCTGATATATATGTAGCCTAAATAAAACAAAAAATTAACCCTGTTTTATGTAGATTTATTTAAATATAAACAAAAAAGGGTCAATATTCTTCTTTTGGCGCCTCAGTACATTTCAAATGACGTTTTTTGCACTGAAATGTATGTCTTTTTCTAGCTTCAGTATCTGTAGCGTTATGGTTTTATGTATTTTTGACCATAATGCTACAGATCCCGTAATGCAAAAAAACGTGCAATTTACGGAGCAATTTATTTTGTGCACTTTTAGGGAGAATTTATCAACTTTCCAGCATCGGTAAAATAACTACTTTTCACTCCCTAATTCTTGTCATATTATTCAACTACTCTGTATATTTTATCCAACAGCATGTACATGTACCTACCCTTTATACGTGTAGTCGTCTCTACAAGTGATTAATTCGCTTGATGAAATTTATATGTTAGATTGCTGAATATTCACTTCAAGCAAGTTTATTGCCTGAAACTATAAATGGTTGGGAGGTGAATAAGATACACATATATTTGCTACAGAATGCGTCTATAATTAGGGAGTAAAAGGTAGTTAATTGACCACTGCAAGAAAGTGGAGAAATTCTCCCTAAAAGGGTGCAAAAAATACTGCGCCGTAAATTGTACCTTTTTTGCCTAACGAGATCTGTAGCGTTTGGCCCAAGACAAATAAATATAATATAATATAAAAACATAACGCTACAGATCTGCAGCTAGTCTTTTTTTCAAAAATAACATATTTGACATTTTCCCTCTAAATGAATCAAGCGACAAAGTATGATATCATTTCTCTTAAAAAAGACACGTTAAAATTGTAACAAAAAAATCAAATTGATTTGCATATTATTTTACCTTTGTGCACTCATAAAATGTAATTTTTTCGGGCTTTTAAAATAAAACAAGCAAAAATTCGAATTTTTTTGTTTTAAGTCTGAAACTTTTGCTGAATTTATGCAGATTGAGCAAATATATCTGATATATTCAGAAAAGAAAATCAAAGGTGAGGGTCTACGATGAATATTTTTAGTTTAAAAACTGTTTAAAAACTTTTAAGTTTATTATAAAATTGCCTTAATTTTTTCCCGGACTTATCGAATATATTGACTTTATTTGTCAAAATTTATTGATAGAATTCATAGAAGTATTTCGATATTTTAGAACCAGCATTACACATTTCAATGCCCAAAATTTGCATCATCAGCAGCAAGTATCTAAAAAATGGAATCTAAACTGATCATATTTTAGATTAGATACTATAAAACGAATATTCTTCATTTGTGCTATTTTTCTTTCAAAGACAAATTATATATTTTATGTTCAAGATTCACAAACAACTACAAATACAATATTTTATTGTCAAAAAAAAACTGTCAATGAAACAGTATAATAAGATAAATCAAACTAGTCCATTCTGATCGTTAAAAAAACTTGGAGCTAAGAAGCACGTTTGTACTGCAGCCGTTTATCTGTAACGATACAAATCAACGGGTTTGTTATTATTCGAAACATATCATAAAGAGGTTAATCGCATGTTAATGAAGACGACGAAGAGGTTCAAATTCACAATAGTTTTAAATAGAAATCATAGAGTACGAGATTGTTCAAGAAATTTATTTTTACTCAACCTTAAGACATCTATGATACACACTATATATATATATATATATATATA